TGTCTAATTTGATTTGATCATATCAGTCATGTCTTGTTTACTACCTCGTTAGCCTACCTACAGGCTACGTACATACGACTCACTGCACTGTTTGGAAAGGAGGCGCTTGCGTCGTCTGGGGCAGACCAGACCACTACGAAACACACCAACGAACGGGTCGAACGGTGAGCGAGGCAAGGAGGGCGCCGCCTCTTTTCCACTTAGCGAATGGGACTCTGGAGATGCCACGGGAGAAAACAAGGTTTGTTTGGCTGTTGGGGAAATAACGCCAGTAACTTATGCCACAGCGGCTGTTGTCACAAAGCGCACGTATGTATACACACTGCCACGGGGACAGTATCACGATTTGCAGGTCACAGCACAATTGCATTGCGTACAGTTGCGCACTCCATCCGATGGGTCCACGTATTCAACTGTCGATTCACCGCATTCATGGTAACTGCCACGACATACGACACCTCAGTTGTTCACCAGTCAAACAGATAGATACCAACAAGGCACTACTGTACAATATGCAAATGCAAGCCGGCATGCATGCGTACGAGCCGTCACCGACACAAACAAAATCACTCAACACACTGAGATAGCTGCATGTTCCTTCTCGTGGCAGCTCATCACTTGCTTTTTCTGTCCCCGGCGTTTCAACCAATCTCACTGATCGCCACTGGATCGCGGCATTCATTCTTGTCACTTGCCCAAGAATAGAATATGAAAGACTCCATTGTCCTGAAGTAAATGAGCTCCTCATCAATAACCCGAGAGCTAGAAGGTGATCAGCGATTACCCTACCGTCCTTCTATGCCTTAAGCTCTTTTCCGGTCTAGCCTACCGCTGGAACCAGTGTTCCTGATTTCCGTTTACACATCTCATCAATAAGCCTGGCATAATCTGCTGACGCGGCCGGCGATCTGGTGTCTCTGGCGGGTTCGATTTTTTGGCAGTGGACCAGATCAAAGACTCTGCGAGGCCTGCCAGGTCAAGGTCTAGCACGTACAACGACCTGGTTGGCTATGTCGGAATTAGGACGACTGGGAGGTGAGATGGCCCAATCAAGCAGCCTTGGTACCTGGCAGGGATGAAAGCCCTTACCCCTGGGGCTTTCGCGGAAGCAGAGCTTGAACTTGGACTGAAAGGGTGTGGTGGGCCTTGTCCATGACCTTGGCATCTAGGGCTAGCGTCGTTTCTGCATTAGCTCTGGTGTTGATACCGGTGCAAGCGTTGCTGGTAGCTCGCCCACTTCCCAGGTCCACATCCCAGTACTGCATACACATGCGTTCTGGCCGAAGGAGATGGAGAGGGATGTGGGAATTGCAGCAAGGGTCTTGTCCAGCAACCTAGGGAAGCGGACCTGAGCTTGCAGGGGCGTGCGTGCCGGCTTCTGAATGAGAACGGAAGAAGAGAGATGAGAGACATGGCGTCCACACACAAACCACGCCACGCCTCCCAACTCGGGTTGAAAGGAGACTCAGAGACACACACCCCTTGCTCAGCTTATAACCCTCAATTCCTCCCCCTTCTGTCTCTCCTTCGATTCTTCACTCCTCAGTCTTTTTGGATCACGGCCTTTGCCTTCTGTCACTCCTTCACAGCACTACGCTGATAACACTCTCTTGAACCAACTTACCTTACAATCCTTATAAAGGCAAAAGGAAGTATTCCGGAAATACAACCAATTACCAAAAAGCCGTCACTCTTCCAACACAACATAACATATACACAAATCAGTCAAAATGAAGGTCTCTTCCTCCGTTGTCATTCTGGCCGCCGCCCTCGGCGTCTCTGCCCACCCCAGCGGCCACGCTCACCAGCGTGCTCACGCCAAGCGCGACTTCGTCGTTGCCAACAAGCCCGTCACCGTTGTTGAGTACGCTACTCAGGTCGTCACCGCTGATGCCGCCCCTGCTACCGCTGTCCCTGAGGCTCCCGCCTCTCCCAAGGTCGATGCCGACACCGTCCCCAAGGCTGCCACCAGCGTTCCCGCCCCTGTTGCTTCCGCTCCTGCCAAGTCCAACAAGAACAAGGGCAAGAAGCACAACTCCAGCTCCGGTTCCGGTTACAAGGCTTTCTGCGGTGGCAAGAAGGCCAAGCGTGCCACTCTCGAGGACATTGCTGCCACTGGCAACACTGGTGTTCCCGGTGACTTTGGCTGCAACATGATGACTGTCGATGAGGATGTCGCCGACAAGTACGACTACACTGTCACCTTCAACAACGACCACGATGGCGACAAGGATTGCGCTTGCTGGAACAAGATCGGACCTGATGGCAAGATCGACGGTTTCTTCGCTCAGAACGTTGCTCTGGAGTTCACTGTTTCCGCCTCGAGCTCACAGGTTGTTGCTTTCGATAGTGACTCCCAGGGTGGCTGCGCTTGTGCCACCGGTAAGGTCCCCACCACAAAAGACAACCTGTGGGCCGGTACTTGGCTCGAGTTCGACTTCGGCAGCAAGCGAAACAAGAACTGGTCTGGCGCTGACGCCTCTTGCCTTGTCTCTGCCGCCGCAAGCCTTGATATCCCCGGTCTCCGAGTCTGTGACACCGCCGACAACACTTGCTCTACCATCAACCCCGGTGGCACTGGCAAGAACGCTTACCTCGGTGGCATGGAGGCTGAGGACGGCATTGGTATCAACACTCCTGCCGAGCAGGTCCGCCTCACCGTCGACATTGACTACTCCGCTTAAGCTATATCATACATAGCCTGTGGTTTGGTTCATTTGAGAGCTGGGCCTCTGCGTAAAACTTGATTTTATAGAATTGGGCTTATTCTATCTATACCTGGTGTTTACGGTGCTCGGAATTTAGCCATCCAGGGCGATCCTGGATCTTGGCTTTGGGATCTATCTATTATACCTTCTTACATATATATATTCATAGTGTTATGACATATATTCATTTCTCCTGCTCAATTGTTCAGCTTGTGACCTTGATTTACTGTAATGGAATGTCCCTTGCTTCAGTTCAATTAATTGCGTTGATCCCCCGCCAATCCCCAGACTTTGTCAATCCTCTTCGCCAAGTGATTCATTTATCTTGAATCCGTCCCGATCGCGCCGAACCCGAATCCTCTGAGCGAAAGGATCGAAACCCTCGAGAAAACGCAACTTGGATCAGCAAGATGGCCCCCAATGCAACGACTAACAGTGGATGAGGTCCACCAAGATCAACCCAGTTTTCATCTCTAGTTATCGGAAATCTCTGCCTCTTTCTCGCGTCTTTTTTGTTCTCTTGGAGTTCTTGGTATGTTCTCTCTATGATGGAGACATGACAATCAGACTTTGCACGATAGGCTGTGAATTGTCCACGAGCAACTCTGGTGGTGCTGCTAATGCAGGTTCAACTTGCATCCATTGTTTCAAGATAGGGGCTTAGTGGGCCTTTGTCCTTGTTTACAGTGCATATGCACGCAAGCAACGCAACGCTTACGCGGAATTTGTTTACTTTTGTTGGTTGCACAAGCAATAAGCTTCAATTTTTTTTTTTTTTTTTGAGACTATAGGGTCTTTGAGTTACTTCGAGATCATAATTACTCAGCTGTGACGGAGGTGGTTGAGAAATAGTGTCACACAAAATCATCAAAGGCTGGCGGTAAGGTACTAAGGCTTCATTGCTCGGTAGCGGGCCGCACCCCATAACTACAAAGGCAAAGCCATGTGCTGTGCTTGTCTTCCCCTAACGAGCAACTAGAAGAAACTTTACTCTGCAGCAGCAACCGCTGATTCAACGCTCGCTCGCTTCTGAGGCATAAACTTTGTTCTTGGGGGCTTTTGCCTCCCAACGGCTTTCGGTACCTGAATCTTGGAACCAATCAGAGCAGTCCATGCCCTGACTAGTACCTGGCAGATCACAGCGTGGCGTGTGTGGAGACAATGCAGTGATATCTGTGCTGTACCTACAGAGCCCTGCCCTACCCTACATGACAGACATTGAACGTGTGCTGACTCAATCGTGACAAGTCTTTTAGCCTTAGATGTCACTTCACTTGCGTACTTGTCTCTCTTTGACCCACGATGGCACGTGTAGTGGAGTTAGTATCACCGAGTGAGTTTGAGATGGTGGGGAAACAAGTCAAGATAGAGGGTTGTTGAAAAAAGGTGGAGGTGTTTAAAGTGTGTGCATCGCAAAAAAGCTTGTGATGTTCGATGCACCTTGCTCGGAAAGGTCACTGAAGAAGTTGTTGAGTTGGAGTTGTGTAGCATTGCAGTGGCCCGACAGCCATACAGTCAGTCTCAACGGTTCAAAAACAAGCACCAGAATATCTTGTGAAGAAACTTCTCGCAGAATTCATAAATCGCTCAAGAATCAATCTCTGCAGTCTAAAAGTCACTGACAGAAACGCTAAGCACACCGATATCGTGCCGTGGAACCCAACTAGCTACCTAGCCATGTGTCAAGCCCAGCGAGAGACCACTCGGGCCGTGGCGATGTGATGGGAGCTGCTCAACTACCTAGTGGCGAAGAACATTGAAGACTCTTAATGAACAGTCCTTGATTCGTAAGGTGGAAGCCTGGCAGGCGGATTGCCCGCTGAACATGATTCATGGAGAACTTTTAAGCTACTGGGACTAGAATATGCAGAGAGAAGTTTTCATGGTTAGTGAGTGGGCTAACATAAACATGCGGTCCAACAAGTAGTGTAAGCAATCGGATGGAAGCAAAATGTCAACTTGTTGCACACCGTTCCATTGTAAGTCGGTGATGTAATAGCCTATGGGAGGTTGTGTGCTTGAGAAACTAGCAGCGACTGCATGAGGGACCGTTAAACTTTAATGGGGCATGTTAACACTTCATCGGTATCGGTTCACTGATGCGGGAGTTATTTAAATCATTATAGTATGTATGCTTGGTAGTTGTGGAGGGTGTAGAAGGCGGTGGTTAATCTCCTGGGTTATATGTAAGGACATGCAGGTCACTGATAAGAAAGCACAGTCTAGACCAAGTTCAAAATCTGATATAGTTGCATATAGCATAAAATCTATACAAGCCCTCATCGCTTACGCTCAAAAACTAGAACTACCACAACTGCTGCCCCCTCCACAACTCGAACTACCACCACAGCTAGAACTACCCCCTCCACAACTCGAATGTGAATGACTAACACTCTCTGCAGCGAGAGCAGCAGCAGTAGCCGCCTCGGCCATCCTGATAGTCTCCCCACTTGCACAGTCTGCTGCGTTGCGTGTTGAACTTCCACACCCGCTTGCGCAGACATGGCACGGCTTCTCGGACGTTGGACTGAAGTGGGAGTCGCTGTAGCAGCCATCTACGTGATCCATGCCTATGTGGTGATGGGGCGCCAAGTTGAGCACGTCGATGTCGGGTGCCGGGTTTGTACCTCCAAAGTCAACATAGTTGTACTGCGTCAAGTCTACGTGCCCGCTGAAACGTCGCTTTCGTAGGTAAGCTGGCATATCAGGCAGACCAACACGGCCGTCTCGCTGCAGTTCGTACGCCTCGATTTGCTTGGCGCGAGTGAGGGTTGCCCAGGGAGCAATAAAGAAATGGCTGTAAACTCCAGCTTCGTAGTAGTGACTGCATGGCTGAGCACGGTGGATACCACCAAGCTTGACTCTTGCTAGAGACGGATCAAGAGTGCTCTGTGTAAGGTCTTTGTGCAGCCATGCAGTGGCCTTTTGGAACTTGACCGACTGAGCCATGGCTGTGGCGGCTCGGTGAAGACCAGACATAGCCGAGAGGACTGTAAGTCGGTTCCGCATCCATGAACTTGCAGTGGCACCTTTGCCAACAGCTGTCAAGTCCTCATCAGTCAGCGCTGGTGCGTACATGCGACGGTCGCGTGAGAGATGATGCGAGGATATAGACCATGAGTCGAATGGGAATGCCCAGACATGCTTGGCAAGGTTACAGTCACCGCATTTGGTAGGATATCTCCCATAAGCCTCTGTACAGTCCCAAGGATACAAGTCCTGGTATTTGTACAGCGTGCTGCCAAAAGCGCCCCAGTCATACCAGTACTCTTGATATGTATCGATGATATCTGATTCATCGTGACGTCCAAAGTGGAAGCGGAGGAGGTATTCTTCAGTGAGCCCGAACGGAACATCAAACTTGGTTCGTACACCCCGTCTCTTGTATCCCTCATCCGGGCATACAAAGCTCATGGTGTAGAGATGGGACACATCAGCAGACATGCCACCAGGCTCCCCATTGACAAGAGGCTGGAAGAGTGTCTTATCGATGAGTGAACTGCAGAAAGTCTGACAGTTGTTATGTGTTGCACTCCAAGCCAGCTTAACGTCTTGGTCCAGAAGCCGCTCTGAAATACTACCGAGATATACACGTAGTCTGGGACTGAGCAGCGCCTTGAGTTTCTCCAAAGCTGGCTCGAGTACTTTGTTGAGTAGCTTGATTTGATCAGAGGTTGGCAATCCAGGATCGTCAAAGGGCTGTTTGCAGGCAGCCAAGAGATCCTGAACGATGGAAAGTTCCTGATCACGCGAAGCATAGTCTCCGCTGAATGGCACACCGACGACTTGCTTCATGATGGCCTTGTATCTCTTGCGGTCGGTGGCCTTTCGTTTGCGTTTCCATACAGGACGATCCAGGCCGCCCCCAATTGCGAGGTCCCTATCAGGCATTGACTGCAGATGGAACCGTTCGTGGAAGATTGGCATTTCTCGAAGAGACACGAGGGCACCACCTTTGGTACTGCATTATCTGTGAGTTACTATTTGCATGACCGGAAGAAGAATATTACTTACTGTGCGACTCCGTTCTCAATAACGATAGGGCCAACTCGGAGGGCCATGTGAACATTTCCGTAAGGATACTTCTCAACGTACTTCCTGAAGAACAGGGGAATATCTCCGTCTTCTGCTGCTTCTTCCGCCACGCTGACGCTAGTTGAAGTAGGTGAACGATCGTTCGCATGTAAACTGGTCTCCTGAACAGTCTTCATCATCTTGAGCCGTCCACCTCGTGGTCCAGAGTCATTCTTCGACTTGGGCTCTTCCTCGTCTTCGAAGTCACTAACATCTCCCTTCTTAGAAGATGTATATCCATAGGACCAGGTATACCTATTTTTCTGCTGCTCCTCCACTCTTGCTTTCCAATTAGACTTCTCGATATCTTTCCGAGACCGAGGCTTCGCTCCTACACTGCTTTGCAGTCCGAGATATTTAGCCTCAGCGACCGCGTCGCCGAGTTGAAGCAGCTTGCACTTATCCTTGATGTTGCTGCCGTAGCCAGTGTGTCCTTCTGGCCAGGATATAGGGAACAAGCTTTCATCGTTGCTAGCATCGATGATTCTTTGACACGCACACAACTTCCTACTAATCTCAGGCGTGATTGTCTCTGACAGGATACAGTGCTTATAGGCCTTTGTATATGGGTCTTTTCCGTAGTAATGACTTCGATAACATTCTTCGCAGATTATGCCAGGATCGGAGCCATCGTCGTTGCGAATGAACATACTTCCTCGAACAACTTTCTTGCATTGCTTTTGCATGCAACGAAGAGGTTCAAAATTTGGAGTGAAGTCATCATTAAACTTTGAAAGTGCGACTGTTATATATGAGTAGTGTAAAGGGGCCCGCGACAGGAACAGACTCACGTTGGGGGATGGCTGGCCTCTTCCAGAATCCGAACATGTCAGGAGGTGGACGATGCTCGATCAGTTTTTCCATGTCAAGAAAGCCTGATGATCGAATCAGTCATATTCCTTGAGTATTTGCAAAGCTTATCACATACCAGCAGCTTGGAGGAGGATCCAAGCTCTATGCTCCATTCCTTTGAGCTTGATACCAGCTAGAACTAGTAAGTGTTTGTTCCACTAACGTTTGTGAATTGCAAAACATACCTTCAATCGACCCCCTCACATCACTCTTGATCTGATCACTTGCTTGTTGTGTGATTCGATCAGATATGGAATCGATAATAGCATCTCTTGCGAACTTGCGCCCATATGCCTTGCTCTTAGTTGACCAATTCTTCATAAGACGAGCCTGCTCCTGCTTCATTTTCCCTGTGAACTGTTAGTATGATTTCACCAACAGAGGGAATCTCATACTTACCATATCGTATGGCATGTGCTCGAGATTGCTGACTGACCGAGTCGAGAAACGTATCAAAGCCGTGGATGAGATCATCGTCTTCATCTTCAATAGAGACATCAGCGAATTCTGGCTGCTGCCACGCTTTAAGCGTGCGAACAATGTTCTCCAGCTCGGCTTTAACTCCATCCCAGTACAAGTTCTCAATTTCTGAGAGAACATGGTCTTTTCCGGGGCCAACACGGGTCCATGAAATGTCAGGCGCAGAAGTAATATGGGAAGAAGGTAGTGAAGATGCTGCGAGCACAGGGAGAACCTTTTGCCGTAACCGTGACATTGTGAATGACTTGGAAGAACAGTGTCGATAGTTCAAGCGGTATATGCTGGTAATCTTGGAGCGAATATGATCATTCTTATTCACACGATGAGGTACTTTGGCGATGTATGAGAAACAGGCATCATCATTATTGCTTGGTTTAGGACATTCATCGTCGAAAGCCTCACAGACTGCCTTCTCGTGTGATGCTGCGCCCCAGCAAGGGCCCTGTCTAATTAGTTCAGCTCGCCCGACTAGAGTGTTTCAACACCCAAAACAGCAAGATTGTCGCTGGAACTTTAGCAGGTCACCTCTAAATTCCGCGATCTTGCAAGACATTTCCGCTAGCGAGGCAGATTAAGAGGAGAATAGACAAGGGACTTGATGGCTGCCTATGGGTAATTACCTCTTGCCAAGCAAGATATTCGACGCTTGGAAATGATACGCCCAGAAGATACATGAGATCTCTAGCAAGCTGGCAGAGGCGTAAAGTACCAACAAGGGCATATTGTTAATGATAGGTACTGTCGCCCAGCTTGATCGGCTCAGCCCTGCGGTTCGACTCATCTGATGCTCTAGTCGTCTTGGTATTAGTTATCAAGGCACACCAGCTCAGATGATGATATCAAGATTGAGATTGACTGCCAATACTTTTGCGACCCAGGCTCAATCACTTATACTTGGAAGACCCGGCGCATTTATACCCATTTCCCCAAGCACTTCGCCTTTATTATACCCAAAACTCACTGAAAAATGTCGCACCTCATCGGTTACAACACAGGTGCACTCCACCAAGCCAGCAGCGACTTCAACAACAACATATCAAAGAAATACTATCCATCAGCCATCGACCTGGATGAGAACCCCATCATCCCGAGTCCAGACATCTTCAGCGAACTCCATGACTCCCATAAGGATAACCTACCCACTCCAGTGCAATGCGCCGTGCATCTAGAATTGCTAGAAGCCTTCCATGCGTTGCGCATCAAGATTCTCGACTCTAAGAAACTCGACAAGGCGTTCAACTTGGGTGAACCGACCAAGAAGATTTATCGTCGCAAGTATATAAAAGGCTTGAAAAAACATGTCAATGAAGAAGTCACACTAAGAAACCCGTCGTGGGAGGCCAAGCGGGACAAGAAATGGACGTGGTACCTTGGAGAAGCAGCGCAAAGGTTTTTGGTATGGGCTGCCAAGTTCAATGCTTGGCTGACTCCAACGATGGGGAAAGACGGTGTCAACGATATGAAGACTGGAATATCAATGACTGATTCCTCATGGCTGCCGCCCGTGGGTGAGTATCTCACTTCCTCCCCAACTGGCACGTAACTGACCATTCAACAAGATATTCTGATGATTTGGCATGCTTTCCTTCTCAACCCTTCTGACTATTTGGACTACTGCCGAAATCAGAACTGGGACTACCTCCCAAGGGTCAATTTCCCCTGGAAGCTTATTGTGCGTTTATACCCGGCGATGTCACCAGCTCCATAACATAAACTAATTATGATGCAGCACGATTCAATCACGTCGCAAGGCCCTATCCGTGATGCCTGGGCAGTCACTGGAAAGGCCTGGGAAGTTCCCGAAGGAGAAGCAGTCATTCCAGGCACTCTCCTTAAATCAATCATTCAGCGAGGCAACTTGCAAACACAAGATATTGGCAAGCCATACGCTTCTCGCTTCATTGGCCAACTCGTCGACAACGTCGAGCGCCAACGTGTCTTCGTTGAAAAGATGAACGCCCATCTATGGATACGAAGCCCAGCACTACAAGGAACTCTTCGCCGAGCAGTCGAGAGATATGAGAGATATCTGAGACTTTTCAAACTCTACCCTGGCAAGATGCTGGTTCCCGCACTTGATATTGACCTCGTCTGGCACACCAGTCAGCTCTCAGCAACAGCGTATATGAATTCCATGGAAGCACGCTGTGGCCGCTTCATTAACCATGATGACAAGATCAAGAAGTCAAAATTGGCGGTCGGAAATGATGAGACCCAGACTCTCTATCGTATTCGTTTTGGAGAGGAGTATACGGTTTGCTTGTGCTGGGAGTGTCAGGCTATTATGTCGGCCGTGGAGGATTCTTCTGATGGGGATGAATATTTTGGAGAGTCACCAGTTTCAGGATTTGTCAAGACACTCGCCGACAAGGTATTGGCCGATGTCCAGTTTTATCGGGCTGTGGAATCTGCAAGACGGAGAAATCATGTGAAGTTGCCAGTTCGCCCAGAGGATAAGGCGCATTCCCAGAACTGGCCGTTAGATGCCCAGTAGAACTATTTACGATCAATAAATCTGTCCTTGTGTTCCCCGTCTGCCTTCCAAGCTGACCGATTATTGAAACGTCCCTGCTCTAAAGCATCAATCCTTTCGTCGTAGAATCTCTTGCCATGAACAGCAACACGGCAGAAGAGCAACTTTTGGAACTCCGAAGAACTTATTTCAACTGCTTTGAGACTCATATAATTGTCAACGAATCGTGTCAGCAGAACAACTCTAGGTCCGACATGGTGGTAGAAAGGCTGAGGAAAGCGCCAAAATTTTGGTTCTTTGAGTGGGAAGTCTTCAGAATCGTCTGAAAGGCGGCGATTTTCATCTTTAGTAGTTTCTAAAGCAGCGCTGACTATCTCTTTGCTTGTTTCATGCTCGGAAATGGCTGCCTTTGGTGGCAAGTCCAGCATTGCTCTGGCGACATCTACCAGAGATAAGATGTACGGTTTGTCGGCTCGAGTGACCACGTCGAACTCGTTGATAACGTTGACGCATAGAGTTCCGCTACTTAGCTGAAATATTCCAGGATCAACGTGCTGGGTCAAGCAAGGAGGTGCGCCAAATGTGACGCAGGAAAATCTCGCAGACTGGTCTGTATTCTTGTTAGACAGTTCCTCATTCTATCTTTGTTTCCATAACTTACTTAGATTTTGGCTAGACATATGGCGAAGATACAGTAATTGTGATACAGCTCCGCCGGCGGAATGCCCTGTAAAAAGAATATGCGGTTTCTTCTTACTCATTTCAGGTAAAGACTCCAGGTGCTTGTTGATTAGATTTGTGACAACGGATTCCAGAGCTCGTGCACTATTCAAGAAACCAGAATGGGCCTCAAGGTCCTCTAAACACCCCTTTGACTGTTAGTTGGGTGAAGCCGCGAATAAGAGAAAACAAAAATGGGCTCATAAACAAAGTGGCGAGAGGCAACTCACAATAAAACTTTCAGTCGTCCTGGGCTGAGCGTTGGCATTAACAATGTGGTCCATCTTACTGGCACTTCCGCGTATTGCTAGCACCAGGACCGGCGACGAATCAGTCGTCGGCGAGCCTGCCTTCGCCTCGATGACAGTCGATGTGATGAGTTTGACGGTACCGGCGAAAGAGCTGTCCACTACTTGATCACGACGAAAGGTGCAGTAACTGGTATCAGCCGTGGTGCCCTCGAGGTCATAAGTCCCCCGAGCACACTTCCAGGCTGCGGATATGAGCTGGACTTCAGATTGAGACCTATAGTATCGAGTCAGGATATTTTTCTGAAAGGCAAATGGGAATACTTACGGGTTCCATTCTATTGATTCATCATCGTTGACCTTGGAGTTGGTATACTTGGCTGCCTCTTGATCTAGACGTTCAAGCAGCTGCCGAAGTTGCTCCTTCAAGCTACCTAATGGCCAAGTCATTGAGTGTTAAATTGACAAGCTAGATTTACAACTGACCATTCAGGTTGATTTCGCTCAAGGTATCAGTCAGAGCACTTGATAATTCATATGCAGCGACTGATGCACCACCTGTGTTGTTGGCTGAGTATGCACTCTTTGAAGAAGATGAGCCCATGATAGATTGTGAGTTTGTATACGAGCTATTTCTTGAATGGCTTGGGTATAGATATGGTTTTAACGAGTGTTCTATGCTGCATATGGTACAAAGTGTTGGGTTGACATTATGCTTTAGACAGAGAGGATTAACTAAGACGATCAAAAGCACAGGCATTAAAAACCCGTGACTCTGCTGATGCTGCGCCTCGAAATCTATACAAAACTGCTTTTGTTACCGAAGAAGGGATCTTCCAATACATATTTGGTGCTGATCTACGAAAATGAAGATCATTGTCAGGTACAGTAGAATAGTTATTGATCTACACCAGAGTTGCAGTCTCTCAGTTTAGCTCCAGATCCAGCCCAGAGCCGTTGGAAGATCAAGATCTCGGCAGCCCGAGCTCTTCCGTGGAATCAGACGACACTAGTGACATTCGAAACATCGCTTGAATTGAGTTGAGCAAGTCTTCGCTTCAGGTTTTATATATTTATTTTTCTACCAGGTCATGGGGAGGAGGATCTGAAACCTCTTGCGAAAGCTTCCGGATTATCGGGAGTCAGGCATTGACGGTCAAGGCAAAGTCGTCGCTCATTCACAGTATCTGGCTAGATGCCCATGTAGAATAATAGTTGAAGTGTATTTCCCCAAACGGCTCCAAGGGACTGCTGCGCTGTGAATTCAGGTGTGGCTATGCTCCAACACCAACAAAACACAACCTAATACATCAATCACATCACACCTTTCTTTGCTGGCGACGACAGCACACAAGTTCTGTCTCATCCTTGTCGCTTATTAGGCAAAGTATTATATCTGACGACGCGATGATTGCAGCAGTCATCAGCCTGACGGGGCACTTTCGTCCTGTTAATTTACCAGGTCCACGTCCAAGTCCAGGGCCACAAAGTAAATGCCGCTCACTTGATGAGAAGAACGTTTCTTGTCAAAAATGTTTGGTTTGCTAACATGCAGCTTGTTTAATTGAACAAGGCAAGGATTTATTTTCCGGTGATAATCTTCAGCATTGCCATAATGCGCCAAGTCATGGGTATAATTTTGCCTGTGAGTGATTTGTTCAAGCGCATGGATAGCAGGGGTATCCTCCCGGTCACTTTATGCAGGCAAAGCCCCATCCATTTCATTGCATCTGGGGAACACAACGTCTTTTTGGGCATCTCGCCCTGAGCTAACAAATGCTCACGAGACGATAGTGTCCTCCCCGAAAGATATTTCTCCGCGTATGCATGTATGCAACCACCCTTGCCCATAACCTGCGGCTGCTAAGAAACAGCAGCGGAACGGTCTACCGCAGTCCTAAACGCCTCATCGCAAGCGACGAAAAACATTGAAATCATAGGGTTGCAGTGCTATCGAATACCCTGGCCAATAATTGAAACTTACGTCTGCTGTGCTGCCAGGTCTTCGGAACCCAAGGAGAATACCCCTGTTGGGCCTGTTTCATCTAGACTCGGCTTATCCTCTTGTGGGCTACCGTCTCCTTATGACACGGAGAAGCGATGACATTTTGAGGCTCCTCCGACCAAGACATGGGACGGGGAACTGCAGACATGCAAGTGCTCGCCTGCTTGGCCTTGTAAAACTGTATTATAGTAGAGCATTGCCTTGGCTTGGGTCCTCCCTATTCTAGGTCTTCGATTCTGCTGGCTAGTATTATCTATAGAGTAGTTGACTTATGCGAACAAGGAAGGCCTTGATATCAATCTTCCAATGTGATTTGTCTCTTCCTCTTCCTTCTCTTCTTCCCCTTGGTCACTTGCTCATTGGCATCTAACTACTCAGTTAGTCACTTGCACTTTTGTCTGTTTTTGCTTCTTGCTTACCTACCTTACGTCTTTCGTTGAAAAGCTTCTTCCAATCGTTTTCCAGTCCTGGCCTTGGCTGCATTCATTCTTTTGTCTTCGTCACTCTCTGTCTTTCTCTACCACTTCTGATACGTTTCATCACGTCACATCTGCTTCAATTCCATTTCACGAGAACCTGTTTTACGACTTATTCTGTTACGACTGCTCTCTCAACATGGCGATATAGAATCCTGGGAAACCTCCACGGTAGCATATTCTTCAGCATCGTGGTTTTGCTGCCACATACGATAATGAACCGACCATGCAATGCACAATACTGAACACTCTAGATAATCACACAACTTTCTATCGACGATGGAATCTCAGGCGGAACAAAGTACAAAGCTTCCTCGTCCCATGATACGTCAGCCCGTTGACTCGTACCATCGACATATCCGCGCCGTCCATGGAGTCGAGAATTCTTCAGAACCTGGATCTTCAAGTGGCTTGGCAAGATCAGACTCGCACCGACTTGGGTCAGCTTTATCAGGCTCCCAGCACGGAAACGTCGCTTCGTTCTTCGATTCCGAAAGATTGGCCAGCTCTGCTGCTCCTTTTGATCCAAGCAATAATCCTTCACCAACAAGAAGCAGCGGAATACGGTGGCCTTTTCTGGGAAGCATCAAATCGCGGATGAGCCAGGCTTTCCCTGATTCACCGCGCCTGTCGCCATCCGAACCTACCCAAATCGAATTACCATGGCGCCCAGTCTTTCTGCATCGGCGAATATTGGCCATCTATGCCGTTGTGTTTGTTGCCTTGATAGCAGGAGTGCAAGTCGCACTTCAGTTATCTGAACACAATGGAGGACTTCACGAATCGGACGACCTTTCGAGATATCTGTGGCAATATGGAACAACCCTAATATTTATTCTCGTGGCTTCTTTCTGGTACAGAGTTGAGTTCCAGGCTTCTGCTTCCATGCCGTGGATCCGCATGTTGAACACACAGGTTGAAGCTGACAAGTCTCTCTTACTGGATTACGTTTCTCTTTCTGAACCAGTGGCCGTCTTTAAATCAGCTAAAAACAAGGACTGGCTAGTAACGACTCCAGTTATTGCTGGTATAATCTTCAAAACAATAGTCATTTTCTCTGTGGCTTTCATCACACCCAAAGTCACCACGGTTGCCAACCACAAGATTGCTACAACAATTCAATCCGATTTCTCCAACAGCATTTCCGGGTTGGAAAACATTGGGTCTTTGCCGTATTTCACTCTTGCAGCACTTGCAGTTGACAATATCACTTTTCCAAACGGAGTTACATCTCGAGCAGCTTACACGCCATTTATAAGCGATATCCCCGAACTGAAACAGATCACAACAGAGTTGGACGGGTTTATCGGTGGCATGGACTGTGAAGAAGCCGACTTGACTTTGAACTCAATGCGAATACAAGATGGGAATGCTATGTTGTTAAGCATGACTTTATCGGATGGAAAATGCTCCTCAAACCAAACGATCACAAGCACGAGACTCGCCAATACGAGTAACGAAGACCTTTCAAGAATGTTTCTTGCGTTTCAGCCAGCCTCATGTGGAAATTCTACGAAGGACGATGATCAACGAATAGCTGTTATGGCTGGTGTTCTGGATGTCGATATCGATCAGCTCAAGCGCCAGTCAAGGACATCAAATAATCGTCTCAATGGCACAATATCGTCATCTCCTGCATTTCTGTGTAAGCCTAAATACATCATCAACAGAATAAAGGTTTCTAAAACCCCCGAGGCTGTCCTCTCCGTTAAACCCGCCCAACAGGCGACAAACACCACACTCAGTCAAGTACCAGCATGGAGCGTCGCCCGAGCTATGTTTGACACCTTTGAATCCGACCAAGCAACGGGGCTGAAGTTGTTGGCAGCATCCACTAACTCATCGTACAGTCAAGAAGCCATTCTTGATGCTGACGAAGCTATGTCGGCTGCCATCGCGTTGGGTTCAAGGGATGGAGGGGATTTGCCTAGTCTGGCGTCTTTAACAGAGACCGATACTTTGAGAAAACTTTCCGAGAATTTCTTCACGCAGTATTCGGCCCTAATTGCTCGATATGCCATGATGGAACCATCGACAAGCACTTCAACAGCTATCGCGAGCTACATTGAACGCCGTATTGTTGTACGACCGGTGCCAGCATACATAATAACTGCATTCCTGGCTATCTGCTTCGTTCTGGCAGTGTCGACAATGTTCCTCGTTCCAAGGAAAGGCTTCCTCCCACGAGATCCCAGCACCATCGTTGGAATGGCTTCAGTTGTGGCACATAGCCACCCGCTGGTAGAATGTCTGAAAGGCATGGGAGCTGCACCCAATAAGGCTTTGAGGGCAAGACTTGATGGCTCGACCTACCTGAGCGGAGCTGAGGGACACGAAAAATTGGAGAATCCCAACCTGGGTTATTACCATATCTTTGGAGGCAACGCACCCCCTGCGAACGTTCTACCACGCCGTTTCGATTCCTCAGGCTGGAGGCAGCCTGTAACATTGCATGGACTGATTCGGTTAATCTACATCCTTGTTCTCGCTTGCATCATAATTGGATTCGAGATCTCCATACGAGTGTCGCAGAGAAATGATGGGCTCAGAACGATGAAGGACGATGGAGCATACATCGCATGGACTGTGGTACCAGCCTTGGTGCTTCTGTTAGTAGCCATGTACATGCTGTCTTTAGAATGGTGGACAAGACTTCTCTCGCCGTTTTCGCATCTGTCACGCCGAGGAGAGTTTGAGGAAACGGTGGGACTCAATCTTGTGAATGCATTAAGGCATGTTGCGTGGTCAAGGGCTCTTAAGATCCGTGATATTGCTGCTCTGGCCGCCATCTCAGGTGGATTTGTTGCGCTTCTCATGATAGCCGCAACAGCTCCTCTGTTTGAGCCGATGCCGGTCGGTCAGAACACCAGTATTGCTCTGCGTACCGAGGACTTCTTCGCCAATAGTCTAGCATCCTCCAACGACGATCCTATCTGTACTGACTGCACCAACGATACCATCATGGCATCGCTGATACTGGCCGGCGACGCATCATATCCGCCTTTCACCTATGCGAATCTCAACGTACCGAATATGTCGCTAGCCGAAGCGGTCGAGGGGAAAGATCTGACGTTCAGTGCTCGACTCACGGCAATCCGCCCAAACATGTCATGCCGACTATACCAATCCAACGAGATTTCCACCAACCTCACCCTCGAGTACAAACTTGATGACAGGATAGCCAATCCACTTCGCGTCGATCTCGAAGGCGAGACCTGCCGAGGAACTGGGGAGCGCAATGGGAGCAACGCGATTATTGGGACGACAGCGACTTCATTTCCTGCAAATGACAGAAGCCTGAGTAGAGATACACTCTTCGGTGTGGGCTTGAGAAAGACAACGTCATCGCCACATTGTTCAGACTGGCTATACATATGGGGAGAGCTAGTCGATGTGGGCAGTAGTGATATGTCAGTGAGCAGCATCAATGCCCTTGCCTGTAACGAATCCATTGAAGCAGTTGATGTCGATGCTCTCTTCCACGGACCCGACAATCTACGTCTCTATCCTGAGTATCCTCCTATTCCTGTCGAAAGCACCGCACAGGACACGACTGTCGCCATTCCAGAGCTCGATTACTCGAAGCTCATCAACGTAACTTCAGACGGTCTACTTGACACCTTTTTTGCCATGTTGAACGCATCTCAGTTCGCTGTACCCGACAGTACATTCGGTAGCTCAACTCCCAGTGCCGCAAACGAAGTCCAGTCTGCTATCTTGTCTCAGCATGGGATCATTAGGGCACAGTCATTGAACTTCAAGAGTCGACGGCATTTATCTTCAAGGGGAACCTTTCCAGTCGCAGATGGGACAAATATTGTCAGTGGTATCGATCCTGATGAGCCGGTTTCTCAAGCCGTCCCAGTTATCAGCGGTAGTCAGGTTACAGAGAGCGTTCGCCTTCGACAGGATGCGATCGCCACACGAATTCTACAGGGTATCGTGGGCGCCTTGATGCTTCTTCATATCATTTCGTGGATCTATTGGAAGCGGATCAGGCTTCCTCGTTCGCCAACAACCATTGCATCTGTTACAGCACTTCTCGTTGATGGTAATCTTTTCAAATCACTTCCACGAGCCGCACAATGGCAGCCAGACAGCGAACTTGAAGCCATTTTCACAGAGAGAGATACCCCGCAACGATTCCAACTTGGGTTTGACCGAAAAGGACGAGGTAGAGGACGTGATGGCCGGGCAAAGAAAGAAGAAGGCAACTTCGGGATCCGTGCAATCGTTCCCAAGGACTATATACCAGAGGAAGTGGAAATGAGACCATTGCCTCCTCCAAAACCACCACCCAAGCCGGTGAAAGAGAGGGTCGGAGTGGTTCGTCAAGGAACTGGATTGCTTGGGGAAGACGGTACCCAAAGGAAATCGGTGCTGGTCACGAAAGGACACACAAACAATTCAAAATCGAAGAGTTCGAAGGGCTCAAAGGACTCGAAGGGCTCCTCGGGGAGCAATGGGCCCAATAGAAAGAGATCCATCTCATCAGCATTGAGTGTGCCAAAGGAGATGGTGAAAGTATGGTGGGCGGGTGGAAGCTGAGATTGTAATGGCCTACGAGAGCGTGGAAAAGTATAAAGATAATTTGATACCTCGCATATTAGATGTATGTAATGATTATAATTTAGATTTCTTCCTTTAATGACCATGAGTTGATACTGAATCTTTGATAACCATCGACTACTTCAATTTGCACAGTGAAGATCGTGGTCTACTGAGGACAGAAAGTTATTGCTGCTCAGAAACATCTGCCCACGAATAGGCCCATACAGCATCACAGGTTTCATGTCACGACACCCCGCAACTTCATTAACAATGCTTCTTCTCCATATGGAGGAAGCGTTTGCATCTGGCAGTTGAAATCGGTCGTTAGGGGTCTTCTCCAGAGTGTTTATTCCCGTGGACATACAAAAACTTAGGTAAAAGTCAACCAATTGAACCCCTCACCATGATCCGGGCCGATCTGTCCCGAAGTCAGGATGGGACAATTTGCCCGAAGAAAATTCAGCAGCTCCGGAGTGCGAGATAAGATACTTCAGCAGGGCCTTGATAATTGTCTCAACATAAATATCAGGAAGTATTGAGGTTTAAACATGCCGGCCAAGCTGAGTGACTTGGGCGGGACAATAGAGTGCAATTGGCAAAAGAATGCTTCAGCTACAATATCGATAGCTCTCAGTGACTTACACATGCGTTGTTCGCTATTCTTGTTCGCCCGGACTTCGCTCATATCGCGTAATGATCCCCCGAACCCAAGATACCATGATGGCGTCCACGTCCCTTTTTTTTTGTTGCGAGCTCCAATCCTTCCAATTTGGCGGGTCATCCCAGTCCCGTGTATGAGGGCTAAAGCTCAGTGGCTTACAGTGCATCGATCCCCTAAAACCTTCGAGAAATGGCCCCAAATGCCCTGGATCTGCCCAAATGTTGTCCTCTCAACGGTCGCATCGGAACTTGAGAACCACCAACACTGGGTTCTCTTCAAGGCCCCTGCAGCCACTTTGAGTCCCGAAATGGTTTAGCCCACGCCAAAGCTTCAAAGTACCTCACTCTTCGGAGCTCAACACGCAAAAAACTCCACGTCTATCCAACCCCAAGAATTTCCTCCGATCCCGACTCTTTCTCTCCCTCTCCTTCTCACGCCAGAGCTGCATCACTCTCCGTCCTTGATCTCTTCGCTCCGCTCCTCGAGTTTCTGTCCGTGACCGCAAGTCACGCATCTCGATATCTCTGCTTTCAATTGCCCTTCCGGCCGGTGAGTCCTTTTCTCAGAGCCTCCGAAATCCCCAAAAGTGGCTCAGCCATGTTCATATTCGCGCTCCCCCCCCATGCCCATCACCGACTAACATCTCTGTCCTTCAGAAAGATCTTAATACCTCCCACAATGCTCAGCGCCGCTCTCCGAAGGCGCGTTCTCGCCCCTACCCACAGCGCCCTGCGAACCGGCTTCGCTGCCCACGTTGTGCGACACTATGCCTCGTTCCCCGAGCACCAGGTCATCAAGATGCCCGCTCTGTCGCCCACCATGCAGGCCGGTAACATTGGCGCTTGGCAGAAGAAGCCCGGCGATTCTATCGCCCCTGGTGATGTCCTGGTAGAGATTGAGACCGACAAGGCCCAGATGGACTTCGAGTTCCAGGAGGAGGGTGTCATTGCCAAGATCCTTAAGGATGCTGGTGAGAAGGATATTCCCGTTGGAAGCGTAAGTTCCTCACTTTTTTGAAACCACTCAGGTCACCTCTCGGTCCTCGGGGTATCTACCTCCAACGCTCAATATCACTCACTGCTGTTAAATCATGCCCCTAACATGCAATTCTCTGATATAGCCCATTGCCGTCCTTGTTGAGGAGGGTACCGATATCTCCGCCTTCGAGAAGTTCTCCATTGAGGACGCTGGCGGTGACGCCGCTAAGTCCGCTGCCCCCAAGAAGGAGGAGAAGTCCGAGTCCAAGTCTGAGTCCGCTTCCGCCCCCGAGCCTACTCCTGAGCCTCAACAATACCAGTCTCAGGGCCGTCTCCAGACTGCTCTCGACCGTCTCCCCAACATCTCCGCTTCTGCCAAGCGACTTGCCCGTGAGAAGGGTATTAACATCGATGGCCTCAAGGGTACTGGCAAGAACGGTCAGATCACCGAGGAGGATGTCAAGAAGGCCAGCAGCAGCCCCGCCGCCAGCAGCGCCCCCAGCGCTACCTACGAGGACATCCCCATCAGCGGCATGCGCAAGACCATTGCCAACCGTCTGGTCGAGTCCACCCAGACCAACCCTCACTTCTACGTCACCAGCTCCATCTCCGTCAGCAAGCTCCTCAAGCTCCGCCAGGCTCTGAACAGCTCTGCCGATGGCAAGTACAAGCTCTCTGTCAACGATTTCCTGATCAAGGCTATCGCTGTTGCCAGCCGCAAGGTTCCCCAGGTCAACTCTAGCTGGCGCGACGGCAACATCCGCCAATTCAACAACGTCGACGTCTCTGTTGCCGTTTCCACACCCACTGGTCTCATCACCCCTATTGTCACCGGTGTTGAGGGCCGTGGCCTCGAGGCCATCTCTAGCCAGGTCAAGTCTCTCGCCAAGAAGGCCCGTGATGGCAAGCTCAAGCCTGAGGAGTATCAGGGCGGTACCATCTCTATCTCCAACATGGGCATGAACCCCGCTGTTGACCATTTCACTGCTGTCATCAACCCTCCCCAGGCTGCCATCCTCGCTGTTGGTACCACCAAGAAGGTTGCCATTCCCGCCGAGAACGAGGCCGGTGTTGAGTTCGATGACCAAATCACCCTTACTGCCAGCTTCGACCACAAGGTTGTTGACGGTGCTGTCGGTGCTGAGTGGCTCAAGGAGCTCAAGCAGGTTCTTGAGAACCCTCTTGAGCTTCTTCTGTAAATTAGGGATGCAGCGTCAAGTGGCCCCTGAAAACCGAATTATGCTGGGAAAGATGAAAGGGCTGGTCCAGCGAGGAATGACTTTTTTATAGAACAGGAGGAGATGATCTCTGAGGGATGGAGATGCGGTCAGGAGTTTACTTGGGATATTGTGGGGGCACCCATGAGAGCATTCCTGGGTAAGGATCGGTGAATCACGACGACGATAAGCATCTATGAGGATACCCACAGAGCTTCTTCGTCTGACCACGCCGCAGCATTCGTGGGAGATTTACGAGGCCGGAAAAGCCCGTGTACAATGACCATTGATTAATAATGTTATATCTTTTCGAACTTGGGGGGTGTTTTGGACAAAGAATCTATTGCATATGCCCTCATTATATGTTTCCTCCTATTGCCTGCTTTACGACCTCCAGACATGACTACTTAAACTTAAACTGTGCCTACGCTGCATATATCACGACAAATTTTGAATATACTATTCTCCCCTCATGTGATCAATAGATTGGTCTGTGTGAAGCAATTGCTGAGATATGTCATCTTGAGATCAAGTTCCAGCCGACAAGATGCTGTAATGATTTGCTAGGATTCGTATCGAAGTTGGCGAGGCCCCAGGGCATGTTTGATGGTCAAAAGACAAGTAAGTTTAGTAGAGAAAAGGCGGCCATGTCAATTGCCTAGATACATTAATACATAAGATGAGATTTTACTTCCTTAAGTCATCATAGATCCCCCAACGCCAGATTCAAAATTGTGATACAACTGATGGATCGACGGAGTCAAACTGCTGAGGCATACCCATGCCACCTCGAGCCCAGTTGAACGCCCCCATACCATCTAGACCAAGGTCAGCACCCATTACCATCCAGTCAAAAGGCATCTCCATAATGCCCTGCATGGCATCGCTATCAATCGCTGGCACATCGATGTGTATAGCCTCTTCATCTCCAGGCTCATCAAGCGATAACCCTTCCCTCTCGGCAACTTCTTTCAGCAAGTCGTAGGCTTTTATACTCATGCTCGCTCCTGTATCAACGACTACTTGATCGACGTCTTCCTGCGGTAGCCCCATTTCAAGGGCCTCAGCGAGGGCGAGAGACACAACAACGAAGCAATACCCTTTTACGCCTGTCTCTCCAGCACGTATCCGTCTCTCAAACCAAGTTTCCGCACTTTGGAGAACGGCGCGAAGTTCAAAGAGGTTCATGACAGGGCCGCCGCCGAGGCTATCATTCTGCTCCTCTGACTTCTTGATAAACTCTAGTGCAACAGAGAAAAGCGTCTGAGTTGGAATCACACGGAACACGCCCGCTCCGTTTGTGATGAGGCGGTTAAAGCTGACTACGGGGTCCAGGGATCCTCCAGGAGAAGAAGTACCGTATCGAGGTGTCGATAGGCCAGTTATCTGCGCGAGCTTCAGAGATGAGTCGAGGGATACTTTGCGAGAGTAGTAGTAGGTTGGATCGAGGGCGGAGCGGGCGACCATGGGTTGATGAAGAGAGAGGAAGCAACGGTATGTGAACATTTGGACAAGAGAACTGTGGAAGTGGGTGAAGATTGTTCGCGGCTGGTGCCTCTGGGCTTCCGATAGAGCAGCAAGTGTCTCCGTTAACGTGCGGCATGCTTTTGTGAGTTCGGAGTTCAGCCGGAGTGTCTCGGCATATGACTCCTTGGATCTAAATTCATTGACGTGCTTGATAATGACGAGGCGAAGAGCAAAGGACTTTTGAAGCGCGAGCTGGACTGACATATCAGTCAGAGTCTCGGGATCGCCATTTGGTCTTCTATCTGAGTCTGGCTCGTCTGTGAGCTGGTCGTCGTTCAAATTTGCTGGGGGGCGTGTATCGTAGTGTTTCGAGGAGAGGAGAGGGGGGCCTCCAGCATCGTAGGAACATTGTAGATTGAGCTCGAGGATGGTTGCCCAGAGTCGGCGTCGAATCTCGGAACGGTAAACGGACATGTTACCAAGGTGCCTTGGGTCCCGATGCAATCCCATGTACATAGCCTGTCTGACAAGACTCCCTGCCGAAACCCAGGTAAGGTCCTGGCCAACCGCACAACACGCTTTGGCGATGACCAGCATACACATGATCTGAATACCAGCGATAGTCATCCTACTCTTCGCAGGTGGTACCACAAGCCAGATCTGGGCCTCATGGACCCATTGCATTGAAGTCGCACGCAAGCTGAAGACATCATCGTGTAGAGTTGCTCCGATGGCCATGCATAACTGGAGCTGAATCAGGAAAACCTGACTCGAGGCTTCAGGATTCTGCCAGTAGCGCTCGTACTCGGACATGAAGGTTGGACGGTGAAGAATCCGAACCACACCCTCGAAGGTGTCAAAATAGGCATTAACAAGCTGATCAGCAAGGCCACGCTCCGGAATATTCTCGCCCAACTTGTCAGTCGACACAGCTTTGGAACGATTTGCTTTGATGGTGCGGCCCAGGGCTTTGCATTTGACAAAACCACCGTGATGCTGATTCCTGCGAGTCTCTGCTTCTTTGAGCATATCAAAAACACCAGGAAACTATAAGATCTGGTTAGGAAGAAGATTCTGTCTCGTAAAATGGACTACTGACCATATGAATGCCGTTCATCCAGTGACTTTGACCAAAGAATCTCGTCTTAGAGACAGTCCCCTTCATAGGAGCCGACTCCGCTTCCTGGTCATCGGGCTGTATAAACTTGTCTTCTGCTGGTTGTGTGATGTAACAAGACTCGGCTAGCTTCTGCTCCAGCTCCTTGACCCTCGCGGCCAGGGCATCAACGGTGGAGGCTTCTGAGTTGGATCCTACGGTTGAGCTCGGGATGCTAGAAGATTTTTGTCTTGCAGATGAGTTTGATGGAGACTGTCTCTGGGTAGACCCAATGGCTGGAGCTGACCTGGCCGGCACCTGGGAGTTTGAGTCTGAAGCACCAGCATGACCTGTGCCTTTCTTGGCACGTGAAGCTGGTATGTGAGTCGGGGCATAAGTGCAAGGTGATATCTTAGATTTGACGCAGTTCACACAAGGTAGACTACGATCACATCGAATCTTGCGGCGCCGGCATTGCTCACACGAGAGGGCCGGCCGACGCCGCTTCTTCTCCGTCTTGGCGGCCGAAGACACGGTTCCACCACCGGCGGTTGCAGCGTCGGCCGGCAGATCAAAGGAAGTGTCCTGCAGATCTGTCGCTTCTGTAAGGGTCTCCTGACTTACATCCAGCGGACTATTAAAGAAGAAGCTGGGGGTTGAGAGTGTGATTGGGGGTGAATTGCCGGGCATACTTGATAGATCGAGCTCAAAGGACTCGGCCAAGAAGAATGAGGGAAAAACAGCGAGACACGGCAAATTCGACAATGCGAACAGTCTGGAGAAAAGTCGTATTTTGAAGTATATGTCAGTGATACAACAATGGCTGGGGATATGGGCAGTATCAATCGGTGGAGATGCAAAAGGCCGAGCCAAAAGACCGAGATTCTATAAGTGACAGTGATGTAAGCTAACCCTATAGGGCAATGACAGTGATCCCCCAGCAGTTGCTGATGCAGAAGCAGGCAATTCCTGCTGATTATTAGTGTGAATTTTAAATGATTCTAGACTGTCGGAGTAAGATTCGGTTGAGGGTTGGTCCGATTACTATATAATGCTCGGACATACGTGGACATTGAGGATTTAAGACGTCAACTCTTTAGGACAGTCACTACTAGGTACGGAGTACGGCGTCGGACTTATCTTATCAATCAAGATTTGGTACCAGTATATCGATTCATACGAGTTACTGTTAGTCTACCTCTCTACCTCTTGAATATTTCTGTATAGGATACGCAACGTCCACGCATCATGATTCATCATCATCACCATCACCATGAGCCTCATCTTTCTCTAGCCATCCCTCTCTGGGCTTTGCCGCTTTGGCTAATAGGTTCCTCGTCACTTCTAATCGAAATATTTGGGGCCCAGTTTCTTCATCGCTCTTGCGATGCGCCTCCACCCAAGTTCGGATTTGCCCTCGGACTTCCTTGTTGCTCGTAACTGTAGTCAGGCTAGCCGCCCACCCGTACATGAAGATAGACAGCTTGGAGCTCTTGAAGCCGCTACTCAAAGCCACGTCATGGGCGACCTGAGGAAGGCTCCCGTTGGAAATACCACTATCAATGGCTTGCATATCCCATGCTTCGTCGATTACAGAAACAGGTATCTGAATATCAGGTGGTAAGCGGTAAATAGTGAGTTGCTGAAAACGCTGCCGCGTGAGGTCCGATGATGTTTGTTTCACATCGTCACCCCAGGGAACCAATAACCTCCCTCGCTCGCGCTCAGTCTCGGTGCCAACAGTTCGAAGTACATCGTGAAAATGATCCGCTGCCTCACGGGTACATACGAGCTTGCGGCCTGCTAACACTGGGTACAACACACGAGACATGAGACCCCCTTCGTGAGCGTTCTCTTCGTCTATCTGGGCACGCGTCGTACGCGACTGCCACGGTTGGGGTTCAAGTCTGAGGTGAGTCAGGTCGGAAATAAGATCGATGAGGATGGTGTGATCAAGGTTGATGGTGGATGTGAGTGATGCAAGCTCATTGCCAACCAGATTGTCAATAGCCTCATCCAGCGGAGGAGGGGATGCTGCGGCAAAGTCGCTATCCTGATCTTCAATGATGACTTTGACCAATGGATCAATGTGTTCTAGTTGATCAAGGACTATGTCAAGCTCCATATCACCTCGACTAAGACCAGTCAGAACCAGACGTATTTGAGGGAATCTGTATTCATGACGATTCATTCTCGCAGCATTTACCAGCCGCTGTACGTATTTTGCCAAAGGGGTATCCTCCCACTCATCCCTGTCGACTTCATCACCGAGTTCATGGTCACCCCATCCCCAGCCGCTATCGTTCAACTGGCGAGCGAGTCTATCGCGAGAGATGGCTTTAGCAGCAATCCATTCTCGTCCTTCTTGAACAACATCGACCTCAACGCGAGCTTGTTCTTTTAGGAGTCGGTGCAGGTT